CCCCCCCAGCAGGAGGTGATTCTTAAAGAGACAGAGGCCAATTTCAAAGCGTTTAGAAGAGGAAGTGATGAGAAGAAAAGTTTCGATTCAAACATAAAAACAGCGTTTTAATAACAGCTAAAGGTGACATAGATACTTTATTATGGTATAGTGTTTAAATATATGTCTGAAAAACACAAAATATTGCCCCTTAAAGTCTTTGTAACAGATCTTCAGTAAAAAGGGAACATWTCCTGCAAAATCCATTTTTTGGCTGTTAAATACATTTTGTTGTGMACTTGGAGTCAACAGAAGTGCAGAAAACAGGAATTTAGTCTCTCCTTGTGCTTTGAAATCTTTTTATACTGTTTGAGTCATATTTTCAGCCCATTCAGCTCTTTCTAGTCTCTATGACGTTTTCTGAACCACGGAATGTTAAATAAGGTCTAAACKTACCAGCTACACTTTGGTGGTCTTCATTCTCCTCTGGCTCCAACATGTATGGCTGGATGGACAAGTCTTCCTTTATTGACATCTCTTCATTAAAAAAAAGGTTTCTGCACAGCTATATAGTCATAAACCTCTCTATCAAACTAGAATGCACTGCTCTGGAAGCTCGAGGGAGGCAGGGTGTGAAGTGCCTTGTTGGTATATAAAGAGACAGCCTCAAACYGAGTTTATCTAAGACACACCCCAGAAAATGGGCGGGGCTTTTTGAGTTACAATAAGGAGGAATTCAGAACAAACCATTGCAGTTCCACTTTAAATAGTTTTATTCTTTATAATGTAGAAAATATATTTTGCTGCTTACTGCTGAGTTACCAAAAGACTATTAAACACATCTGCTGCTGGTATGATTAATAATTTTGCACTAAGTCTTATTTGTGTAATATTTAATAACTATGAGTCAGATTGTATGGAAGTGTTTTGCCATTTTTAAACAAGACCTGTTTGTGAACAGACATTTTTTTTATTAAACAGTAAATAATTAATCTCAATTACTGACAATGTTATTCCTTTGCTTTGCTGAACTGTATTGCATTACAGCTCAATGTGTTGAATCAAAACTCATATTTATCTGCATTTTCTTGTGATTAACGTCTGAATCGTATCATATTGGGTTTTTTTTTCTGTTCATGTATGTCAGATTGTTGGGATTGTATTAATAAATGTGTCCTATTGGCCACAAACCAGAGATGATGAAGTCTCAAAACATAATCTGGACGTTCATCAACAACCAACAAACTCCTGGAGTCAACTGATTCAAGATGGCTGCCACAGATGATTAACCTTAATAAAAGCAACAATAGCTAATAATTCTGTCCATGTTATGGATATTTAATTAAAAGTTGTTACAGTCAACACATACTCTGCCACAGATCATGCAATAAATTGTGATATTTGACATTGTGCATAGAGTTATTGTCATTTTTCAACATAGAAAGAACATTTTTGTGTAAAACATTGACACAAAAATTGATGGAAATTATCCAAGTCCTAAAGAAATGCTTTGAGAAAAAAAAAATACATTCTTTCAATCCAGTAGGCAGTTCAAAACTAGGGATTAAGTCAAGGTTTCTGTCCAAGTTAAATCATGCAACACATTCACACTTCTATGTGCTCAGGTAAGTCTGTATTCACAGCACAGTTTTTCACTTTCTGAGACAGAGAGATGAATTGGCCGGCGGCACAGCTAATTATCTTTCTGACCAGGGAGTGACAACAGTTGTCTAACTGTGCATTGAGTGATGTATGGAGGAATCAACAAGGCTCACCTGTGCACTGTCCTAAGTGTTTCACTGTAATGTCCTTGTCCTGCCTACAGGCTATGGTCTTCAGCTGGCACTGGTYGGCGTAGGTCACCCCATCTGAGCCGCACACCTGCTCCGGTGACAGAGACGGATGGACGGGAGACAGGAACACATGTTAACTCCCCGTGGGCTACTGCAATAAGGTGCTTCTGTTTTTTTAAAGTATTTATTAGTGCAGGATCTTTGAAAAACCCACCTTGGATTTGTTTATGATATCGCAGTCAGGTAACGGGCACTCGCAGTGGGCTTGGCCGCTCACCTCAATGCAAGATGCTCCAAAACTGCAAGTCAACTCTTTACAGGATTTTGGGGCGTTAGGTCCTGTGGATGAAACATTTTAGTCATTTTTGACAGAACTGCGACAATCCGGTTTACCAAAACTGAGCACTAAACACATGCCGAATAAATTCTGTTTTCTATCAAAGTAATGCCAGAGTGAATGAAGCTGCTTTCATAAAATCGGTGTAATTTTTTAATTACCTCTGTTCTGAGCTTTTAACATATTCATATTGACTAATCAGAGCACAGCCGTCGTTTTTTTTTTTTTAATTTTTGGTTTATAATTCGGACAAACGATTTGTTTGATTTATTAGAAGTCTCTCCGTCGCCCAAATTAAACCGACACTGTTAGTTACAGTAGTAACAACTCAATTTCACAACCAAGTTATCTAGCTCCAACAGCTTTTTACTCTTAAATTAGCAGGAATTAATTTAAAAACGTTTAAACAAATTGTCATTCTTCTACTAAAACGTAAATKTATTATTTTTGCCAGAGGACGGCTTTGGTGTTTTAATGATTAGGGTGCTCTTGAAGTAGCCTGAAACCACTGGATTCCTTACTGAGTTCATTTATTTTTTTGTTTTGTTTTTTTGACTGGATTTTTAAAAGTTGGAAACAAGTTGCACTTTATTTTTTTTAAGTTATATACAGCATATATTATAAAAACACACAGATGGACCCAGTTTTTGTCACATGGTTGGTTATAATTTCATATCACGCTTTATGTTGTCTAGTTTGAGATGTTCTGCGCAGAATTTCAGCTGTTTTTGGGCCATTTTGGACAGAAAGCTCAGAGGATGAGGTCTGCTGGAGCCACTGTTCTATTTTTGGGTGGTCCCAGAACCGGACGATCCAATAATCCGTACCTTCTTGTGTAGCTTGTGGACCACCACAATGTTTGATTGGTTAGCCATCAGCTGTTTGAAAGTACCAAAATATCATAGCCCTGTCATTCTCCCCAACTCTTAGTGGAATTATAAAACCTAAAATTCGAACAAACTTGGAGGACCGATGTACTTCCCATTCAAGGAATAAGATTGTGGAATAATCTGGAGAGTGTTTTTAAAAATGCCGGTTCAATGTATTTCTTTAAGAGAATGATAAAAATAAGTTTGTTAAAGGAATATGAAATTGTATAATATGTATCAAAAGTTGTTGTTTGAGAAGCAATTGAAGCTTTTATTTTGTTTTGTTTCTTGATTATTATTGCTTGAAATTAATTACGGAAAAAAGGGGCAGATATAAAATTTTCTTATTTCTGCCTCCTTTTATTTCAATTGGGATTTGTATATTTTTGTTGTGTATAATTTTCTTTTGTTTTGTTTTTAAATGAAATGAATAAAAAATGAAATGAAAAATAAATAAAAAATCTCAACCTTGGACTGTGGGACTTCTAGCTCTAGTAGCTGGGCGTTCGGAGTTTGGAACTGGGGTTTCGTTGCACAACTTTGGTTTGAAAAATCAGGTGTTCGTGGTTCAAATCTCAGTGCGTAACAAGCATTAAACATCGAACTAATACAAATAAAGGCCTCCGCATGCTCCATCTTAACTCCCAAAATTGTATTGTCACAGTTGCGTGACAAAAATTGTGTCATTTTGTTCACATCTTCGAGTCTTCCACCCCTTCTTGACACAATGCGCTGAGAAAACTTTTCAGACGGAGTATGTGGAGGCCGAGGGCAAAAACGGTGCGGTTACTGCCTTTAAACATTTCCAGATGCTACCGGGGGCTTTTATTTTGAAAACAAGGGTGTCAGTTGACTTCCTCAAGTTCTTACCTTTAGTTTGACACCCTTATAAAAAAATGTTGAAAGGCTTTTAAAGAATTTCAGGGGCGACTACTGATGTTGGGGAACCAACACATTCTGAGGGGAAATGAGCTACTGGAACAAGACATTCATCGATGAGGGCAGATGTGTAAATGTGTTAGTTCTTATTTTAAGTTTCTAAGAGTGCAACAGCTGCATTTAAACAGCTCATTTTCTTGTTTGTGTAAAAGAGAACGTTGTGAATCATCTGAGCTCAAAATGCTCGCTTGAAGTCATTGTTGCAGCTGCAGCCGAGGAGCTGCAGCCTGAGTTGTAACTGTGTTCTCTGCATTGTTACAGCATCACAGGGGCTTCCAGTGCACCTACCACTTAGCTCCTGCTTTTTTTTATGCTGCACCCTCTGAGAGTCTGTCTTTTTATCTGGCTGTGTGTGTGTGGCGGAGTGCCTCACTACTGTGCCGGGACTGCCGGCTTCATTAAGCATTTGACTTCCAGTCGATGTCAGATGGTGAATCTTAATCAAGGAGCTGCAGGCCCCCACAGCAGGAACTAACCTTTCCTTCAACCGGTTTTTTTAGTTTGTGCAATCACTGGGGCGGTTTACATTATTAATCAAAAGCAATCGATAGTGCTTACACACAGATCTGGGCATATACATGTAGGTATTCTAAATCACCCCAAATACATTTTGATGTATAAAATTAAAATATCAATGGAAACTGTATCATGAATGACCCTTTTGTACACTTGACTATTTTCCTAATCACTATTGATTAGCTATCTTGCAGCCACTTCTTTCTTTGTCAATAAACCTGACGGATGTGAAGGAGAGATTGAAAACGGGCTGGCTGCTATAAGGCTTATCCGCTAATCAGATAAGTGAAAGACAGCCGCCCCAGAGTGATGGAGAGGAGGCTGAGGGAGACGAGCGTCTGGGTTTTTAAAGCTCCGCCGACGATGCTCCCTCTTATTACCGTTGTCGCAGCCGTTCATGCCCATCTTGCGTCCATCCGGGCACAGGTTGCATTTCAAGCCCCTCACGCCCGTCTTGCAGGAGCACAGACCCGACATCTGCTCGCAATCGTCTCGGACCGAGCCCGTTTGATCGCAGCTGCACGCTGTGGTGAAGAAGTGGAGAAAAGGAAACGTTTTGATTAGAAAAGAACTTACAGTCAAATGGACAGCGACAAAAAGGCGGAATATTTAGTTTATAGGGGACGGAGTGTGTTTCAAGCACCCTTATCCTCTCTGGGAACCTTCGAGAAGATTTATCGTTGCCTTAAAGGAGCAATATTATGTAAAATAAACTTTTTTTGAGTTTTATTTCATGTTATAATGCTATACTCTCATAAAAATAACATGTCCAAAGCCTTGCTTTGACCTATTCAGGCATGTTTGAGAAATCCTGCAGTGTTTTTAGGAAGCCATGCTGAGGAGCAAAACGACAGGTGGGGACTAGAAACGCCTCTGGGACGTGTCTYTAAGCCGAACTTCCTCATGGCAGAGCACTGAAATGGGCGAGACAGAAGCGGAAGGTGGTTTTTAAAGAGACAGACGCCAATTTCAAGGCGTTTAGAAGAGGAAGTGATGAGAAGTTTATTTTCGATTTAAACATAAAACAGCATTTTAATAACTAAAGGTAACATAGATACTTTATTATGGTATAGAATTTAAATGTATGCCTGAGAAACACATAATATTGCCCCTTTAAAGTGAGGGKTTGGGAACAGTTCAACTAGCCTCAGGGGTCGCAGAGGGAGGAAGAGGAGGAGAAGAACGAGTGCGTAACAGAAACTTAAAAAAAAAACAACCTCAGGGAAGGACATCAAGCTCATCGTGTTCCAAGAATCAATGATGTGTTTTTTTTCTTCGCTTCCCCTCCTGCTGAAAATTGCATTGGTGTTCTGTGTGCTGCCTGCTTGCTTTGGGTAAACCTTGTTAAGGTCAGGCCACAAGTGAGACACCTGCAGGCCTCCTGCTGCTGACTGAAACTGCTCTCCGCCTCCGGGCAGGCGTGTGTTACGACGCCTCAGCGGCAGGATGCAAGCTGCTCGCCATATTGCATTACACCAAGACAAACAAGGGGTCCTGACCCCAACGCCTTACCCGAATACAAATGAGAACAACTCATTCAATGTAGCTTTGACAGGACAAAGGGACACGGTAAGAAATCAATCGACAAAACGCTCCTGACAAATGACCCTCTTTGTTTACAGTGACTCATGAGTCTAATTTGATCAATATAAAACCATGGAGGAGTTTATACAGAGGTACTGTGATGAATTGAGGGAGAAATGTATTGTTCTACAACAGGTTTTTATCTAAAACATTTTCTCAGCTTCTTAAAAATGTCTCAAACCATCTGTTTTTCTTTCATTTGTTGTATCCAATTTACAAAAATAAAACAATACAAATAAAATTAAAAATAATCTAAAAGTAAAAAAATTAATTTATTACTATACAGTTAATATTAGTATTAAATAACAAAAGCATTGCTCACTGTTTGACTTAAGGTGAGTGAGAAAATGGAACAAACTGCATGAACTTCATGGAAGGAGAAAAACAGCTTAGCCTGTTAGCTTTTGCTTTAGCAACTAAGCTAACACTTCTAAGGCGATATCAGAGCTAGTTCCAGAGCTAATAATGTTAGCTTGGGARCTAACGCCATATATACATCACTGATAATGAATATGTGGGGTTAGTTCTCATATACTATAAGACCATGAATTTTTTTGGCTTGGGCGCTAAAGCAAACATGCTAAAGCTGGTGTTCTTTTTTCCTTGAAGCAGCTCTGTTGTTCTCCATCCACATTTATAGTTACAGGCTGAGTCATTTCTACTTTCTCCTCTTTGTCAGCATGCTCTGGTTTCATTTAAAAAGGGCTGATCRTCAAATATTAACCTTCTGGGTGGATAGAGCTCGCAGCACCGGCGGAGAACWTTAAACGTCATCACTTATCCGGTAAAAATAAATTACGGACCTGTCCGTATGAAAATACATATTTTTAATTTACAAAAACTAAACAGCCTTTATTTTACAGTTGAAGTAAGTGTTTATTACTAGTCAGGGTTCCCTTTTCACTGCAAAAACTGTCCATCTTACCAAGTTTTAAAAACTTATATCAGCCAAAAAGTATTTTTGATCTTGTTTTGAGACTGATTTACTAAACAAGAACTGATTGTGTAAGAATAATAATCTTGTTTTCAGAATGTGTAAGATTATTTGTCTTGTTAGTCTGATAATTTGACTCAAATTAAGTCAAAATTTTCTGCCAAAGTTTTACTTGGCAAGATTCTTGAAATACTTGATTTGACTCACTTTTTTCTTATTTCAAGAATCTTACCAAGTAAAATTTTCGTTCTTGATTGGCAGAAATTTTTGACTTAATTTGGGTCAAATTTTCACACTAAGACAAATAATCTTAACACATTCTGAAAACAAGATTATTATTCTTACACAATCAGTTCTTGTTTAGTAAATCAGTCTCAAAACAAGATGAAAAATAATTTTTGGCTGGAYATAAGATTTTAAAACTTGATAAGATGGACAGTTTTTGCAGTGTAAGGAGTGCCTGAGAGGTCAATTTGAACACAAAAATGTAACAAACACCTGCATTAAAAATGAGAGAACAACGGTTCCTTACGTGTGCAGCCGCTCATGTTTTCGGTCACGATGGCTCGGAAGTTCCAGAAGCCGGGCTCGCAGCGGTCGCACTTCTGTCCGCCGACTCCTGGCTTACAGGAGCACTGGCCTGTGGTGGGGTCACATGTGCCTTTGTAGGAGCCGTGGACGTTGCACTGACACGTACCTGAGGAGCAGAACAGAGCAACATGGACGTCACGGCGCTTCTCTGACTTCCCAAAGAATCGGCTGTCATGCCCTCTACCACAGCTTCCTATAACGTAAACTTAAAGATTTGTGCTAAGCTCAAYTGTTTGGTACACTGCAAAAACTGTCCATCTTACCAAGTTTTAAAATCTTATATCAGCCAAAAAGTCTTTTTGATCTTGTTT